GAGGTCCTCCTGTGGGGTTGGAGGACTTGGGGGAAGGTCCTCCTGTAAGGTTGGAGGTCCTTCTATGGGGTTGGAGGTCCTCCTGTGGGGCTGGAGGACTTGGGAGGTCCTCCTGTGGGGTTGGAGGACTTGGGGAGGTCCTCCAGTGGGGTTGGAGGACTTGGGGAGGTCCTCCTGTGGGGCTGGAGGTCCTCCTGTAGGGTTGGAGGTCCTCCTGTGGGGCTGGAGGACTTGGGGGAAGGTCCTCCTGTGGGGCTGGGGGGGCTTGGAGGACTTGGGGGAGGTCCTCCAGTGGTGTTGGAGGTCCTCCTGTGGGGCTGGAGGACCTCCAACAACCTTGGAGGACTTTCAATCAGTATCTATGGGGCTGGAGGACCCCGATTGGGAATCTATGGGGCTGGAGGACCTCCAACAACCTTGGAGGACTTCCAGTCAGTATCTATGGGTCTGGAGGACCTCCAACAACCCTGGAGGACCCCAAGTTGGGATCTATGGGGCTGGAGGACCTCCAACAGCCCTGGAGGACCCCCAAAAGCCCTGGAGGACCCCAAGTTGGGAATCTATGGGTCTGGAGGACCTCCAATGGGGCTGGAGGACCTCCAGTCAGTATCTATGGGCCTGGAGGACCCCCATTGGGAATCTATGGGGCTGGAGGACCTCCAACAACTGTGGAGGACCCCCAAGTTGGGATCTATGGGCCTGGAGGACCTCCAACAACCTTGGAGGACCTCCAATCAGTATCTATGGGTCTGGAGGACCCCGATTGGGAATCTATGGGCCTGCAGGACCTCCAATGGGGCTGGAGGACCTCCAACAACCCTGGAGGACTTCCAATCAGTATCTATGGGTCTGGAGGACCTCCAACAGCCCTGGAGGACCCCCAAAAGCCCTGGAGGACCTCCAATCAGTATCTATGGGCCGGAAAGTCCTCCAGATCCCCCCTACCAACACCCTTCTCTCTCTCTCCCTCCGACCTACAGTCTGCAGCGTTCCACCTCATTCAGCCCCAGAGGTGCAGGTCCTCCACGCCTCTTCCTGCCCCCCAAGTTGGGATCTATGGGGCTGGAGGACCTCCAATGGGGCTGGAGGACCCCCAAGTTGGGATCTATGGGTCTGGAGGACCTCCAACAACCTTGGAGGACCTCCAATCAGTATCTATGGGTCTGGAGGACCCTGATTGGGAATTCCTGGGTCTGGAGGACCTCCAACAACCCTGGAGGACCTCCAGTCAGTATCTATGGGTCTGGAGGACCTCCAACAACCCTGGAGGACTTCCAATCAGTATCTATAGGCCTGGAGGACCTCCAACAACCTTGGAGGACCTCCAATCAGCATCCATGGGGCTGGAGGACCCCGATTGGGAATCTATGGGCCTGCAGGACCTCCAATGGGGCTGGAGGACCTCCAACAACCCTGGAGGACTTCCAATCAGTATCTATGGGTCTGGAGGACCTCCAACAGCCCTGGAGGACCCTGATTGGGAATCTATGGGTCTGGAGGACCTCCAATCAGTATCTATGGGTCTGGAGGACCCTGATTGGGAATCTATGGGTCTGGAGGACTTTCAATGGTTCTGGAGGACCTCCAATCAGTATCCATGGGCCTGGAGGACCCCGATTGGGAATCTATGGGCCTGGAGGACCTCCAATCAGTATCTATGGGTCTGAAAGTCCTCCAGATCCGCCCTACCAACACCCTTCTCTCTCTCTCCCTCCGACCTACAGTCTGCCGCGTGCCACCTACATCACGTTCAGCCCCAGAGGTGCAGGTCCTCCACGCCTCTTCCTGCCCCCCAAGTTGGGATCTATGGGGCTGGAGGACCTCCAATGGGGCTGGAGGACCCCCAAGTTGGGATCTATGGGTCTGGAGGACCTCCAACAACCTTGGAGGACTTCCAATCAGTATCTATGGGTCTGGAGGACCTCCAACAACCCTGGAGGACCCTGATTGGGAATCTATGGGTCTGGAGGACCTCCAATGGGGCTGGAGGACCTCCAACAACCCTGGAGGACCTCCAATCAGTATCCATGGGGCTGGAGGACCCCGATTGGGAATCTATGGGCCTGGAGGACCTCCAATCAGTATCTATGGGTCTGGAGGACCCTGATTGGGAATTCCTGGGTCTGGAGGACCTCCAACAACCTTGGAGGACCTCCGATCAGTATCCATGGGTCTGGAGGACCTCCAACAACCTTGGAGGACCTCCAATCAGTATCCATGGGCCTGGAGGACCCCGACTGGGAATCTATGGGGCTGGAGGACCTCCAATGGGGCTGGAGGACCTCCAACAACCCTGGAGGACTTCCAATCAGTATCTATGGGCCTGGAGGACCTCCAACAACCCTGGAGGACCCCGATTGGGAATCTATGGGTCTGGAGGACCTCCAATCAGTATCTATGGGTCTGGAGGACCTCCAACAGCCCTGGAGGACCCCCAAAAGCCCTGGAGGACCCCGATTGGGAATCTATGGGGCTGGAGGACCTCCAATCAGTATCTATGGGTCTGGTGGACCCCGATTGGGAATCTATGGGTCTGGAGGACTTTCAATGGTTCTGGAGGACCTCCAATCAGTATCTATGGGCCTGGAGGACCCCGATTGGGAATCTATGGGC